CATTTAGCTTGCTCAGATGCTTAGTTTGGAAATTTTTATTCCCGGACTAAGCATAAAGCAAGAATTTATTTTATTATTTTTTTTTATAACATCTGAGGTTCTTTCAGATGTTTGCAGAAAGGATGCATAATTCAGAGTTCAAGATTAAAGTGTAATGCTTCACGTCTGAGGGCAGAAATCAAGACAGCTTGTTCATCTGAAAGCCCACACGGCTCAACTTAAAATACAGTCATGGATCCAGAGCATCTCATCTCATTTGACACGAGCATCCACTTCATCCTCAAGATGCACCTGAACTCGTGAGGGCAGATGAAATGTTACAGTATCTCCGAGTGGATGAAATTCAAAACAGCAACAAACAACAAAAAGTCTAAAGTTTGTCAAGTGTTACAAACAAATTTTACAGGCAAAGGAAGTTAATTCAGTATTAAGATGACAAGTGCAAATGCACGTAGGACACACAAACAGCTTATAAACTCTCCCTGTCAACACATCGGTTATCACCACCACTGTAATTCAGAAGAACACTTACGAGTGGACCCTTGCATTTAAATAATTATATGCCCTTAAAAATTCCAATGAAATCGCGTCCCTTTTCACCTTTTGAATGAAAATGCTGCAGAGTTAAGTTAATTAAAAAAAAAAGGCATACATGACATGAGAGACTGAATTAATCCAGTTATTAAAGCAGTATTTCTCTGTTTATATTGTTGCAAACAAGCTGAGACAGACTTTAAGACAAGGTAAACTCAGCCAGATTTCCTCTGTCCAGAGAAGGAAATTAGTGAAGTCAGGAATTTTTCTGTAGGTTGTGAAAACAGCATCCAACACCAGGCTCCCCTCATGGAGCATCCAGAGGAAGCAGCAGACAAAAAACGTGATGGTGGAGGCTTCCCAGAAAGTGAAGGGAAGCGGGAAGGAACACTTAGACAGGAGTAAGAAATTCCCTGCTCCTGCTTCTCAAATTTCTAAGAAAGAATGGATTTCTAGGGGAAGAAACTTGAAGACCCACCCACTTGTATTCTGGTTGCAGCATGGCAAAACAGTTCCTCAAGAAATCCATGGGAGGAGACATCCAACTGGCATATGACTTCTGTTCCACGTGTGGGGAAGGACAAGGTTCAGAAAATAACAGGTAATACAAACATTATGCATCCCCTTATTTAATTAATAAACAGCAAATTTTATTATTAATATTTGGCTTAGAGAAGCCTGGACACTGAAATTATCATGAATAAGAATGTTTCAGGATTACTATGTGAAGAGAAATACTGCCAAAAGCCTGGACTGGATATAAATTTAACTTTGTGAACTGAAAGGTCCATATTCATCATATTAAAATGCACTTTATTAAAATATATAAAGTAGAACAGACAGTATAGAACAATTTTTTTTGAGGAAAACACGTCAGCTGTACACTAATGTTGTAACTGTATATGAAGCCAAACTCATTTACTTAAAATTCCTATGATCCATAGAGAAATTCTTTCCTCTCCCATGCTAAACCATGGAGGTCACATCAGGCTGAAAATAGAATAAATAAGGATGTGAACAGGTTACTTTCACTGAAACTTTCAAACAGATTGAATAAGATCAAATGGTCAATTCTCATGCCAAAGAATTCTCATCTAAGTTACCATACTCTAATGCACACAAAACCAAACTAAATTTAAATCAGAACTGCTCTCAATCTCTCAGAATTCATTATATGGATCTTCACCTGGCAAAAGAATAAACAAGACACATTCAAAAACTGGTGTATATTTCCTTAAAGTGGTTGGAAAAATAAGTTCAAATGGCTTTGAAAATAACATGAAATCCATTCCTAAATGATGATTTGTAGTTGAATGTCTAGAATTATTCATTTAAAAGTCAGTGCTGCAGAAAATTCAAAGACTGTCCACACTGGATTTTCGCTGCGCTAGAAGCAGCTGAAGTATTTAAATATCTTTCTGGTGGAACAGCCACCAGTAATTTTGAAAAATTTATTTAACTGCTACTTACAGAATTCAAAACACTGTTGCTTCAACTCAGCTTCAACTAGGAAAGATGCACTGCTACCTGTACATCAAAACAGTTTGTTTAAAACTTTGCTTTTAAGGAATATATTTCAAGTGTGTAAATTCTCCTGCGATGTAGAAAGCACTTCAAAATAGAACTGTGACTAAACAGTAACAAATATTTAAGATGCTTTCTCCTAAGTATTAAGGTATTTGCACTTGAGCAAGAGCTCAACATTATCTTTTGTTTGGTGCCACAGATTCGCCTGGGACGAGAATCATTCTGGCAAGTGGCCTTTGCATCTAGATTTTTGCAGACGGTGCATTATGAAACTGCCAGAGTATCCAAAAAGAAGAAAATAGAGCAAGAGTATGTATAGAAGCGAGTATTTGATAAATTAAGCCTCAAATAGCAAAAGGCATGAAGCAGTGAAATCTGTCTAGTTGTGAATATCGAGTTTTTTTCCCCAATCCAGGTCCCTCAAAATAAATTAATGCCCATGTTTTTCCTTAAGCCAGCAACTTGAGCATTCAACTGACAGGAATTATTTCTTGTCAAAAGTCAAATACCAGAAAAAACCTATGTTAAAGATGCTGATGTTACAAAGGCAAGAGACACTCAAAGGTTAGCAAAGCTTTAATTTGTACCACTTTTGTCGGTAGGACGAACCTTTCAGCGGTAACTTTTTTGTATGAATTCTCAGATCTCTTCAAAGTGGAAAAATGAGTCGAAATGGAAAATACTCATTATTTCTTCCCTCCTCCTGGTATCACTGGATGTGTCTGATAACACTATATCTCACTATACACTACCAAAATCTCACACTGACCACAGAATTGTTTGGGTTTTTTTTTTTCCTTGTCTTGGGGAGCCTTTCCCAGTTTTAAACATTCTGCTGCAACTCCAGTTCACCATCCCATAGGTGTGTAGTTACAGTGCAGCTGAGCCTACTCAGCAGTGGGTACCTGCTCCTGAAAGGATGTATCTCCTTCCTTCCCCTCCCACCATCTCCCTTCTCAATATCCAACCTCACAGAGAACTGCTCAGACCGTTTTACCAGCAGAAAGTGTCTTGAACTGGCTCGGTGTGGATCACAGGACAACAAATGCTGACACAAAGGAGGAGGCACCAGAATGAGAAAAGGGGTTCCACTGACTCCTCTGTTAGCAAGCAGCCATTGCAACAACTTCACTGGATTGAAAAATCAGACCCAAAAAAAAAAAAAAAAAAAGTATTTCTACATTTATTTTGAGATATTAAGCACCATTCCTTTTCTTTCTGGAGGAAAAGAACTCGTGCATGAGGAAGGTGAAGGCTAGAAGTTTCACATGTCCATTAACTAGTACAGCACTCCATAGCTGATTTTTTACAATGTTATATACTATTTTTACAGTACTTTATATGCACATAAAATTCCTTTTAATTTCAGCTGCGCATACTAAACTCTCAGCAGTCGGCAAATCGGTCGCAACATGACTAACACCATCAGCAATGAAACTCTTCTATTTGTAGATTTGCTAACAATCCTGGAACAGTGTAAGAACTGTCACAGCTCTCTAAATGTGATCACCTCCTTCTCTCGCAATCCTGTCTCATTTTCCAAGCTTTCAAAGCCTGCAACAGAGCCATGAACCCACTTTATACAAAACCTGATTCAATCCAAGAGCGACGCTCATGCTATTAGAATAAAAGAGGCAAGGGGTAGAGCAGGAAATATTAACAAAGCCTGCAAAAATATGAATATTGCAGTGGAAGCAAACTAAGGTTGCACATGCAATCGGTTCCTGAACGCCTGACTCTTTAACAGCAGCTTTCTTTTAAGTGGAAACTTCTGTGCATTTTCATAAGGTATTGTTTGTAACAAAGAAGCAGAAACATGCTGATCCCTTGAAGGATCATCAGAAGGACTACATTCTTTGGACTCACAACATTGACCTTTGCCAACTTCAACTGATCAATGACAGTTGGAATGATAGGCAGTAATCCATAAATCAGCCAACAGAGGGAAACGAGTAGCCATAAAACCTGTTAGCAAGAAACAGAAATGCATGGAAGCAGCAATTTTTGGGCCGGAGCCAAATTTCATAGGGTTCGGGCTTGAAACCTTCATCTCCTAGTCTCCTCTACAATATGCACTTGGGTTATCCCTCCCTTTACTCCACTCACTATCTGTTACACATCTGCATTTCAGTGAGATTGCTTCTACAATATGCACTTGGGTTATCCCTCCCTTACTCCACTTGCTATCTGTTACACATCTGCATTTTAGTGAGATTGCTTCTCTCAAAATACAGGAGCAGCTTCCCTTTCGAGCTTCCAGAAAACTGGCAGTAAAAATTAAGATTCCTATCTGCAACTCCGCAGTGTCAAACAATATTTTAAATAATGAGCAAGAAACAAGTGTGCGCTGAACTTTTTGTGTTTGCAAGGTTAGAAGAGAAAAGTAAAATACAGCAAAATAGTCTGTATTCAAAACAAACCTTTGCCACTTATGCTCCAGGACTTTGAATTGCCAGAATCTGTAAATGTAGGACTCGAAACACAATATAAACATCTGTGTTGGACAGTAAGACATGAGACATGTTCAAATAATATGTGGTATTGCTATTTTAAGCTATAACATATCTGACTTCTACATTGCCGTTCTAAAAAGAGAAAGCTATCCCTGGAGTTTGGTACAGGCTGTTCAGTATTTTGTACAGTCAATACACCCGCTTAACATTTTTGTAATATTCTCTTCCAGCAGACAGAATGTGTTGCTATATAAACTGAAACAAAAGATATAATTTTTAGAAGTTAAAAACTAGTATAGAATTACCCAGTTTAAGACATATTCTAAAATTCTTGTTGCATGGTTCTAACAAAAATCACGTTAACATGGCTATGAATGTGTCATCTCCATGGATCAAAGTATTTTTCTCAAGATAGTTTCAAATAGGGGAAAAAGCACCTGGATGTTGGGACAATGAAACAAAAAAAACAATTTGAGAAACAGAGTATATGCTTGCTAAACAAGAATTATGTTTATTTAGCTAGTGAATCACCTAGAGGAGTAAATTTTCACTTTCATGATAGCAATCTGTCAGGCTTGCAAACACCCAGAAATAGGAATTAAAGATTATTTTAAATGTAGTTATAAAGGTCATAAAAAGTCTGATTTAGACTGAGGTACATTTACTCAAAACTGAGATTCATTGAGTGGTAGCAAACAAACAGTTCCTCAGACAAATGCACTTTTTTCAGTATACATGTTACAGAAAAAAAAAATAAAGAAATGTGCATTAACTGGTGGTGTCCACCAAGCTGCATATTAATATTCTCTTACACCAAACAGTTTGAAACAAGGGAAATGTCATTCTAATATAATTTTATGTTACGTTTCATTTGGCTAAACTGCAGCTTAAAGTTGCTTTGCCATATTAAAAGATTACTACAATAATTTTCACATGAACATTTAGACTTGAGTTTTACTCCAGGACTAAATATGGCATGATTTGCTTTTAATCTGTTGAATAGCTAAAAACTGACAATTAAAAAAACTACAACAAAGAAAAAAAAAAAAATTAAGTCGAAGCAATGTGAATCTCACATCATTGAACCACTTCTAATGGTTAAATGTTAGTATTTAACAAATTCAAAGAGTTAATGAATCCTTGCATTCGTTCGGTCTCCTGTGCCTTAGCTAGGATGCATAAATACAAAAGACAGCAGATACTGGTAAAAGCTTCAGGACAGAAAGTGCTTGACGAAGGTACAGTTCTCAAGTGTGTTTGGTGAGAGAGTATAAGGGCAGATGCACTGATGAGAACCATTACAAGAAGAGTCAATTTTGTGTTAAAGTGTTCAAAGATGTCACCTTAAGCAGAAAAAAGCTTTAATAACGTCTTCTTAGACATATTAGGCATTTCCAGAGTCTACATCATTAGTGTTGTAATTCTAGCAGGACATCTCCATATAGTTATTGTTTGTTTCTATTTCTCTCCTGAAAAAAAACAAACAAACAAAAGAACAAGAACAGAAAGGAAAATCATGTTAATACACACAGTTCAACATTATTTGCTTTACTCTCATTAGAGCAGTTGCATTTCTTGCAATTTCTCTAAATTAAGCAACAAGCTTTCAAGGAAAAAGTTTCACTTTTTTTCAGGAATATGAAATATCTAATTCAAGGCAACTTTTTACAAAGAAACACAGAAGTATACATCAAATTAAAAGGCAAATACATTCCAAAAAAAGACAAACCAGCTATCAAAAATAAAAGCTTTTATAATAATACTCTTAAATCACTTCCAATAAAATATATTGCACAAAATGAACTGAGCAGGGAGACCAAGGGACCTACAAACAAGGCAGAAGAGGTACCTTAAATCTTCTGCTTAGCTCTATGTGAATAATTAAGTATTCTACTCTCCATCCATTACATCCCTGAAAAAGTAAAGATCATATTCCCAGCAATCTCGTTCAAATCCCACTAGAATGATGTGTTTCAATGTGCTTAAGATCAAAAGGTAAAGGAACATATTGGCCTAGTACCTCCTCCTCCATACAAACATATCACTCAAATGCAGAGAAAAAGCCATCCAACCATACTTTTTTTTTTTAGAAGTTAATTTTAATAACAAAATACAAAAGCAGTGAGGTGAGAAGGGCTGGGAAAAAACCCTACTTGAACACCAGCCTGAGTTGGAGTCAAGCCCACACTGACCACAAAGCCCTCGCAGCAGCACGAGATGCTGCATTGGGTGTAAAGGAACCAAATGATTAATAGAAACCTGTGGTTTTGTGTAAAGGAACCTGCATAATACAAACAACAAAAACCAACTTTGTACAGTTAAGGGCTAAAATACTAATTGCACCGTATCTCTATCAGGGACTAGCAAATGCTTCTGCAGTATTACAAGTCTAATACAGTAAATTACATTTTTAGTGCTTTATCACTGTAGTTTGACTCAAAGATTTTATCTTCCAATAGCATTTCCATTCTTTATACGTACAACTGAGCATGTTCTATAAATGCTTTAAAACACTCTTCATGGAAGAGAGGTAGCTTCCCCTCCCCCATCCAAAAGAGAACAAAAAAACCTCATTTCCAGTATTTTTATTATTATTGCATTACACAGCATGTTATAAATAGAACATAAACATAGCAGGGAAAACCAAAATAAACCAGGAGGCATTTGAACAATGATTTCAAAACCACTCTGCAACTTTATTATGCTAGAAACTATTTAGGAAGAGGGCGAATTGGCACGTGAACCCAATTAAATTCTGCCAAAAAGACACTTTTGTGAGAGAAGGGGACACATAACGTTTATACTGGTTGTTAGAGTGCAGCTGGTGATCTACTCCTCTCCAGGACAGGCCTTCAAGAGGAACACTAAGGAAAGCTCACAGAGATTTCTTGGTCACAATAAGCAGCTCTATGGCTAAGATTGTACATTCTGAAGGGCAGAAGTCCAGTATAGTCAAAGCGGGAGCTACACCTGCTCTGTGCTGCTAGAAATCATGTTTTCCTTGTTCAAATGATATTTGCAGAGTAAGAGCCTGGTTTGAAAATGTGAGATTGATAGTATCGGCCATTAACACAAACTGCTATGTTAACAATGCACATCTAGGCTGAAACCAGATGATGGCTGGCCTCATGCCTCGCTGCGCGTGTAAGGCACCCAAAAATAGCCTGCTCACGCTCATCTCAGATTATTCCTCTACTATTAGCAGACTTCAGCTGAAAGAACTGCACAAAGTTCTTAATACCACACCACTGCGGTACTAAGCAGTATCCTATGAAACTGTGACGTTAAAGAATGAAATATCAATATTTTCACAATTTTAAATAGTACCTATGTACAAATAAAATCATCAGTTCCTGTCCATTTGCAAGTAGTACATATAGGAGCACTGAGCCAAGCTGCCTAGACAGCTTCTCTGCATTGCAAGCTGCTGTAGCATAAACTGACCAACCTTGTGCTTTATTTCACTGAATTTCACTGAATTTCACTGAATTTTTAGAGTTGGAAGGGATCATAGAGATCATCTAGTCCAACTCCCCTGCTAAAGCAGGACCACCCAGAGCTTGTCAGAGCATGTTACTCAGGACTGCATCCAGGTGGGTCTTGAAAATCTCCAAAGAAGGGGACTCCACCCTGGGCAGCCTGTTCCAGGGCTCCGTCACCCTCACCGTGAAAAAGTTCTTCCTCATATTCAAGTGGAACCTCTTATGTTCCAACTTGTGCCCGTTGCCCCTTGTCCTCTCACTGGCAACTACTGAAAAGAGTCTGGTTCCCTCCTCCCTCAGCCCACCCTTGAGATACTTGTAGGCATTGATAAGGTCTCCCCTCAGCCTTCTCTTCTCCAGACTAAAGAGTCCCAGCTCTTCCAGCCTCTCCTCATCAGGGAGATGCTCCAGTCCTTGAATCATCTTTGTAGCCCTACACTGGACTCTCTCCAGCAGTTCCCTGTCCCTCTTGAACTGGGGAGCCCAGAACTGGACGCAGGATTCCAGTTGTGGCCTCCCCAGTGCAGAGCAGAGGGGGAGAATGACCTCCCTTGACCTGCTGGCCACACTCTTCCCTATGCAACCCAGGATTCCCTTGGCCCTCCTGGCCACAAGAGCACACTGTTTGCTCATTGTCATTTTGTTGTCCACCAGGACCCCCAGATCCTTTTCTTCAGAGCTTGTCTCCAGCAGGTCCATGCCTAACCTGTATTGATGCCTAACATTCTTCTTCCCCAGGTGCAGGATCCTACACTTTTCCTTGTTGAACCTCATGAGGTTCTTCCTTATGTACCCCCCGAATTCAAAATGCCCTTTATTTCACAAAATTTCAAAGCGGAAAGGGAATATCCTGACTACCTGCTTCCAATGGATGAAATAAAGGAGGTGCTACAAATTTCAAGTCCACTTTGAATTCTACAAAAGAAAAAAGCCTCAACACAACAGCATCACACCTTGCCTGCAGTCTCAAAGGTACACATTATTACATTTATATTTCAATACTTAAAGCAGATGTACAGACTTGACATTTTTCAATGCAAGTGAACAGTAGTTCTTCAGGTATTGTATCAGTAACACGTGGCACTCTGTACAGCAAAATAGAGAGAAAGCCAGATTTATTCAACATACTGGCAGTAGCATTACACTCAAAAGCAAACTAACACACACACAGAGCACTAAGATCACACTCACTGTCACAGCCTTTTCCTGTCTCAGGAAGTATTCCTCTTCTGGGTTTTTTGGGTGGCTTTTGTTTGATGGCTTGCTTTTGTACAAACAGTGATTATAGACAAACCAGTATAAAATGAAACACAGAATCATAGAATGGTTTGGGTTGGAAATGACCTTAAAGATCATCCAGTTCCAACCCCCTGCCCTGGGCAGGGACACCTCCCACCAGACCAGGTTGCTCCAAGCCCCATCCAGCCTGGCCTTGAACCCCTCCAGGGATGGGGCAGCCACAGCTTCTCTGGGCACACTGTTCTAGTGCCTCACCACCCTCACAAGAAAGAATTTCTTCCTGAGATCTCATCTAAACCTCCCCTGTTTCAGTTTAAAACTATTACCCCTCATCCTACAGCTCCACACTCTGATCCAGAGTCCCTCCCCATCTCTTCTGTAGCCCCCCTTTAGGGACTGGAAGGGGCTCTAAGGTCTTCCTGGAGCCTTCTCCTCTCCAGGCTGAACAACCCTAACACCCTCAGCCTGTCCTCACAGGAGAAGTGCTCCAGCCCTCTGATCATCTTCATGGCCCTCCATTGGGCCTGTTCCAACAGGTCCATGTCCTGAGTTGATAAGCAGGACATGGAAATAAAATACCATTTGAATTAGAGCAGTGTGGGAATGCATTGGCTGCTTAAGGGCCCCTGCCAGCTACAGACCATGCAAATAACTTTCCACACAAACTGACAAAACCAAACGAAGGTGAACCTATAAATGCATGGGCCTCAGAAACATGCTTTGATCTAGTGCAAACAAAAGTATGGAATTAACTTGGTCTGAACAGTGAGGCTGACTTACTTCCAAATTTCAGTTCTTAAATCAGCCCATTAATCAGGTGATCTTGTGCTGAAAAATAGTTGCAATCTTATTTATCCCCAGATTTAACGAAATTCCTATGCTATCAAAATTTCAAAATTCAAAGCAACAAAAATGTTTCCTGGTCAGACTTGAAACTATTGAAATGCACACAATACTGACTTCTGGATTTGTCTAAAAGAAGGGAAATGAAAGACCCTCATTCTTAGTAGCAAAAATGTAAATGGTAGCCTAACAACAAGCCATTACAGAAAGAATTTCTTCCTGAGATCTCATCTAAACCTCCCCTCTTTCAGTTTAAAACTATTACCCCTCATCCTACAGCTCCACACTCTGATCCAGAGTCCCTCCCCATCTCTTCTGTAGCCCCCCTTTAGGGACTGGAAGGGGCTCTAAGGTCTTCCTGGAGCCTTCTCCTCTCCAGGCTGAACAACCCTAACACCCTCAGCCTGTCCTCACAGGAGAAGTGCTCCAGCCCTCTGATCATCTTCATGGCCCTCCATTGGGCCTGTTCCAACAGGTCCATGTCCTGAGTTGATAAGCAGGACATGGAAATAAAATACCATTTGAATTAGAGCAGTGTGGGAATGCATTGGCTGCTTAAGGGCCCCTGCCAGCTACAGACCATGCAAATAACTTTCCACACAAACTGACAAAACCAAACGAAGGTGAACCTATAAATGCATGGGCCTCAGAAACATGCTTTGATCTAGTGCAAACAAAAGTATGGAATTAACTTGGTCTGAACAGTGAGGCTGACTTACTTCCAAATTTCAGTTCTTAAATCAGCCCATTAATCAGGTGATCTTGTGCTGAAAAATAGTTGCAATCTTATTTATCCCCAGATTTAACGAAATTCCTATGCTATCAAAATTTCAAAATTCAAAGCAACAAAAATGTTTCCTGGTCAGACTTGAAACTATTGAAATGCACACAATACTGACTTCTGG